TATCGCTTGTTCAGAATCAGTTCATGAAAACAGTTTACGGATCCTCCAAACACGGAGGCTAATCCATTGCTTATTCAGACCCCCCATCTCAGAGATGTTCCAAACACAGATACCTTTATGATACTCATCCTTTCACCTACAACATACAGTTCAACAAACGTTCTTGGATGGCATCTTTAAGCCCATCTCCGACAAGGTTTTGCCACACCTCCAAATGGCATCTTTAAGCCCATTCCCTCAACTATGCTTTGACGAGTGCAAATTTATGGGCACTCTAGTGTTCAATCATCTTTTACCTTCGAGTCGCGAACGACAAAGTTGCCAATCTAACTTCTTCTTCATCCCAAATTTCAAACCAACATACATGACTTATTCAACACAATATTATTCCATACTCTTTTTTGTTTTTGTTTTTCAAAGCTTTTCTATTTTTTTCTTTCTTTTTCTATCACTTTTTTTCACATCTTTCTTTTTCTTTTTCGTTCATAACCTCATAATAATCAACCAATAAATACACAATCATTTTTCTTCCCAACTTGAATTCAACCATACATTAAAGTGAATACCCCCTACTTTTTAAGACAAGGTAAAAATTCAAAGCAAAACAATGGTTGAGGGTTCAAAAAAACAACAAATCAATATCCATACAAAAAGGGAAACTAAGCACTCATAGACAAACATTTAAAAAATACAATATGGATATCGACAAAAAGCTCAAAGGGGTTACTAATGATCACACACTCACAAGGTGAATTGACTTATTTAGCCAAGGTAGTTATGCTCAAAATGAAACAAAAAAAATATCTTGATCATGTTCAAGCTTTCATACAATCAACACAAATAAAAGATTAAGCATAATAACATCCAGTTAAAATAAGAATTATGGTCTCCAGCATATGTGAACAATGGAAAGCTACCTCACAAAAAGGGTAGGGACTAAAGTGATTCACAAATGAACAAGTATACAAAAGAATGAATGGCATAAAAATTGTAAAAATTCTAAGTATCATGAATATGCTAAAGTATAGAAAGTGATAAACACATACCTCGAACGTGTACAAAACTTTAACAAAATCATTACCACACATTTGCAAGTCGAAACGATCAAACTTGATAAATCACCTCAACATTCTACAAGTTATCAGACCAAAACTTGAATGCAAACAACAATAAAAGAATTAGAAAAATAATACTCCTACAAAATTTTAATGTACAAAATTTACAATGAAGAAAACTCCTCAAGCTAAACACGACAAGCTTTCGGAAAACACAAATTGACATAACAAAACAAATACAAATAACAATATGAAAACCGGGTGAAAATGAATTAACAAGTTGAAAAGTGAAGATTTGAAGTTCAGAATATTTCCTTGTTTCAACTTGTTAAAGCATAAATCACCAAACACATAAACAAATACAAGCAAACATGCTTATTTTATGTCGTAAGCTCGACGCCTTTATTATGTGAGCTAATAACCTCCTCTCATCATGCCATGGTATTGTCATACCGTGCAAACCTAAAGAAACTGTCCTAACAATCATACAATAAACGTTACAAAAATGAGAAAATTCACAACAAAACGTGAAAACACATATATGCACAAATATCATATACAAGTTAATGTACAATTTCTATACAACATATACATAATTACAAAACTCAAAAACAAAAGAATTATCGCAATGCGAAGACAATAGAACCAATCCCCGACAACGGCGTCATTTTGTTGGAAGCAATATAGCGGCAAGCAACAAAAATTTTGGAAATATTTATCCGAGAATTTATCGTGTTCACAGAGATTGATTATTGAATTGCCGTTCAAGAAATTTCTCGTTAATGAGTTTGGGGATAAATGGGTTTGTAAAAAAAATGTTATCAACAGAAAATAAATGTAAACAAAAGTAAAAACTAAGGAATAACTTATCAAGCCTGCATATAATCTACTCATCACAGACTTAAATCTATCGACCAATTATACGCAACCTAACAATACTCATCAATGTCACCATGTGTCACTCACAACCTAAGTCATTTCTAACCAAATTGAGAGATCGACTGTATCACCAAGGAAATGGTCTCTCTACCTCCTCAACAACACAGAAGACAACTTATGTAATCGTACTGACGATCTCTCAGCACAACACAATCATACAGAGGCATTAAGCTCTGATACCTAAGTAGATGTCAGCTCTAAATCTATCTCTAGAGTTCCGAAACTAACAGATAATCATCCTAGATAAGAGTCTAAGCAGTATATGTCTATAAAAACTCAAATATCTAGCACAGAGCAAAAATCTAGGACAACAATCGATAAAGATTTGTAAAGCAAGTTTAATATAACGCCATGGGTGACATATATACATAAGTTCAGAGTAAATACATGTACAAACTCAACACATAAAGAACACATAAAGACGAAGAGAAATGAACCACAAATCTCCCGGTTTATCAGCGTCGATTGATGAGCAATTCACTCAGGATCATCCGTATGCAAGCTTCAATGTTATTTTCTAAGCTAATCATATCCAAAAATGAAGGTTGATGGAGTTGGGATCAAAAATACCCAAAACCATACCCAAAAAATGTGTTTTTACGCCTAAATACGCATTTTTGACTGTCCAGCATTGCCCGACGACCAAAAAGCGTGGCCCGGCAACCAAAACAGCATTTTTCCCATGCTATAGCTCGCCTAGCATCGCCCGGCGACTAAAATTTTCGCCCGCCGATGGATGACAGAAGGTTGAAAAATCAGCACAACATTCTGCACTGTTTCGGTCATAACTTTTGAACCGTATCTCTGATTCGCGCCCGGTTCGAAGCGTTGGAAAACTTATTCAATGCTCTTTCTAACAATGACAAAATATAAACCAAATAGATGATTTTTTTAATTCTTTGATTTTGAGCCTTATTTGTTGATGAGTTGTTCAAAATCGCGCGTTTGAAGCCGTGTCTTCGATATTTTATTGCTCATGCTCCAAATACGCATCAATACCTACAAAATGAATAGAAAATTATCAAACGATATCCTATGTACACAAAAACACAAATAAACACAAACTAAATGTATTTACACAAAAGTCGAGATTATTAAACAATATTAACAAACAAAAAGATGATAAGTGCTACAAAACTTATATACAAAAATAGCTACAATTTACACTTACCATGTGTATGAGTTAAATACAATTGTTTGTATAAAGATAAAATAAATGAAAATCTTTAATAAATAACAATTATGTAAAATGCAATAAATGACATTAAACAAAAGTTAAGACAGGGAAAAGAAATGTTTCATTTAAGGAAACAAAAGAACAATGAAAGACGTAAACTCATACATGTTTCTCACAAACTGTTTAGCTCTTTGACTCGAGTACTTCAGTTCTATAGAGAGAATGTATAAAACTTTGCAACCTTGATTACAATGTATGAGTCTACTACTTATATCATCCAATAAATCACCATTTCTGATAGTTATACTTTCAGACAGAAGACACGTATCCAAACATGCAATTTAATGTTCTAAAATGTGTCCACGTCGTCAGACTTCAAAATTGGCTATTATCCCATGTTTGTAAATGCTCAAAACCCCTAACTGCTTCTCAAAACTATTTGATCCAGCATTCTTCGGCGCACCTTTTCCTCTACCTGGACCCTTGACTTAGAGAAAACTAAGCTTCTTTTTTATATCTAATTACTTCGTCGATGCAACTCTCTTGCCGAGACAGACCTCTATCGAATGTCCTTTTTCGAGATTTTGGACATATTTAGAGGAAAGAGTGATCCTAATCTTATGGTTCTGTTCTTGTGATTCTTTCAAATCATACCTATCATGTTAGTCAAAGCTTCTCAATCGACATGACTGTTTTTATCGAAACATGTTAATTAATTTCTTTAACACTTAGTGTTTCTCAACGCCACATTCTTTGTTGACTTTCCTTATAGTTGGAAATTTCAAACTAACAGTACTGCAATATCGTTTGTGCTTCAGTAAGAATGATATCTATAATATCCCTTCAATGAGAGATTTTTGGAAAGACTCCTCTTCCTATAGTCGCTCATGTAAGATCCATAATACGATAACATGCAAGCAACACATCAATAACATGATTTGTCCTAGTCTACTTTTCCTCTAATATCTATTGATGAGGTTGCTTAGGTAGATCTTCTTTTGTATTTGATGTCATATAATGTTGTGATGCTTTATAATACCACTGAACGTCCTATGCACAATTCGATACACTCTAAAGAGTTTGCTGACTTATTTCCTCTGAACGAGAATATTCTCTAAAATTAAATATTTGATTAAATCTTTTTTATGGAAAAAAATGAAAAATCTCATAAGATTCACTAGAATACAATTTTTTTAGAGCGAGGTAAATGTTGTTTGGATGTCGGTTTAGTGCAGGAATTTAATGTGTCTTTATTAGGAGAATGGTGGTAGAGATTGAGGGTAGACCAAGGATCTTTGTGGTATACATTTTTATTGCATAAATATGTGGTGAAACAATGTCCTTTTTCGTGTGGGGGAGGAATAAATGTGTTTGGTGGAAGGACTTTCAAATTTTCATTAGGGGAGATGGGGTAAATGCTGAGAACTAGATTGAATAGCACCTATTCCAAGTAATTGGTGATAGGGAAAATACATCTTTTTGGGATGATCTTGGTTGAAATAGAAACAATTTTTTATATAGTAAGTATTATCTAGTTGTCATTAGACAACACTTGTGATTTTTTTCCTCCCATGTTAAAATTTTTATACTATATATATTCTTGTGTTCCTACAAAGTCAAGTCCAAGTCTTCATGCAACTTGTATCTTAGTTCTAAAGTCATATTATGGGCCCTTACGAATTATTAGAAAAACATGACTTGGTCGACCATTCATTTCTTCATACAAAGTCTAAGTCAAAGTCTGTACAAACTTTTTTTTAAATATAGAAAATTCAAAACTAGACATGATTTCAATAAATACAAACCCTTGGTTATAAGCTAATTCAAAAATGGAATATAGAAACTATTATTTCTACTTTCTACTGGCTTTATGCCTCTCATGTCCATATTCTAATTTGTTTGCACAAGATTTACCATACAAAGCTGTGAATCTTGGAAACTGGCTTTTGACAGAAGGGTGGATGCTACCTTCTCTCTTTGATGGAATTCTCAACAAAGATCTCTTGGTATGTTTGCATCACTCTTATATAGTTAAAACATTAATACAACTCATGTTTTCATGTAAATGAACTTTTTTTTTTAATGTATGATGATTTTAGGATGGAACTCAAGTACAACTTTTGTCCACAAAGTTTCAAACATATCTTAGTGCCGAAAATGGAGGAGGAGATGTTATCGTTGCCAACCGCGGTTCAGCTTCGGGTTGGGAAACATTTAGAGTAAGTAATGTACTATTTTGTGTTCAAGCTCAAATCCATTCGTAACACTATCTTTGCGCAACTATCAACAGACTTGTACTATTGTATTTACGAGACAACCGATTATCTTTAATAAATGTAAAAGCATATATTTTTCTGCATATAATTGTATGAAGTTTGGAAATCTTAGTTACCCTTATCAAGTTCAAAGTATTTGCTCATATATGCAGCTTTGGAGGGTCAATGACTCATCCTTTAATTTTAGAGTGTTCAACAAGCAATTTGTGGGGCTAAATAATCAAGGAGGCAACAAAATTTTCGCAGTTTTGGATTCACCTAGCAACCAAGAAACATTTCAGATTATAAGAAACAATGACGATCCACTCAAAATTCGAATCAAAGCATCAAATGGCCTATTTTTGCAGGTACTCATTAGACCATTCTCAAGCTATTAATAACTACATAGAAATTTTGAGTTTTGTTGTAGGATCATTGGAGTTCATATATAACAGAAGATGATTTCATATTCATGTCATAAAATGGGTTGAGTGCGGTGAGAATACCAGTTGGATGGTGGATAGCTCAAGATACAAACCCGCCTAAGCCTTTTGTTGGAGGATCGTTAGCCGCACTAGACAATGCTTTCACATGGGCTCAGTAAGTCTTTGAGACGATGTTTTGATTAAATCGTAACACACTATTAGAAAAAAGTTGAAATAACGACAAATAACTTGCAGAAACCATGGGATGAAAGTGATTGTGGACTTGCATGCTGTTGAAGGTTCTCAAAATGGCAATGAACATAGGGAACAAGAGATGGATATTTAGAATGGGGTGATTCATATTTCATACATACCTCGGACAGTCTTTGTCATAGAATTCTTGGCGAAAAGGTTTTGTATCTCTAGACAATGTTTCCTTAAATTTCTTCATTATAGTAAAAGAGAGTTATATGTTTAAATTCAAGCATGAGTGATTACTCTCACATCAGATAGAAATAATTTTTATGAAGAATGTATAAGTATGGCCTCGTTCTTCGGAATTTGAGTTTGTTTTCGTGTTTCCTATGATGGAGACCCTTGAAACATACGAAAAAAATTTGTTGGCACTCAACAATTACGTTATAAGTTACTTGACTACCATCGCCAAGAAGACTTTCGATATAAGCAATCAGTCATTTTTAGTTAAATCATAGACCCTGATATACTTAGTATATGAGTTATACCTTTATATATCGTTCATTTTGTATATGCTTAATCGTTATGAAATTAACAACTCTTGAATTCCAATTATATATGATGTTATGGCCTAATTAAGTAATTGATTTCTTTATACTTAAAATGAATTTGTTGACAGATATGGTAATAGACAAAGTTTAGGTGGAATAGAGCTGATGAATGAGCCACAAGGTGTCAACTTAGAGAGCCTCAAGAAGTATTACAAGGCAGCTTATGATGTTGTGAGGAAATACAACCCGAATGCTTATGTGATCATGTCAAATCCATTGGATGCAGATTCCAAAGTTCTTCTCTCATTTGTTAGTGGCTTCAACAAAGTAGTCCTTGATGTGCATTACTACAATCTTTATTCAAACAGATTCAATAACATGAATGTTCAACAAAATATTGACTTCATAAGAAACGAAAGAGGCTCTGATCTTAGCGGTGTCTCTTCAACAAACGCTAGGAGAATGGACTAGTGAGTGGAGCATACAAGGTGCGTCTAAAGAAGACTACCAAAGATATGCACAAGCACAACTAGATGTGTATTCTCATGCAACATTTGGATGGGCTTATTGGACCTATAAATGTCAGTATAACCATTGGAGTCTCAAGAGGATGATTGAAAATGGTTACATAAAACTTTAGATGTAGGGACTAGTTTTCACAACCCAACATATCTTCAAATGTATGCACCGGAAAAAAATCGTGTGGACGCTTACTTTTGAAAATATAAGGTTATTGGATTAATATGTTTTAAGTTTTGTTTATGAATGTATTAAGTTTGGTTTTAAAATAATATGATTGCAATTGAATTTGCATTGTTTATTTGAAGGTGCACTTAATAGTTAAACTGAAAAGTTATTCTAACAATTCAATGACTTCAGAAATTTTGATCTTAACTTGGTTGTTGATACGCACCGAATTAACGAATATGTTATTAAGTCTATAAAAGAGTTAGAATGAGACCCTTTTAAGCATGTTTAAAGGAAATAGGTTCGACCCGTTTTAACATATTTTAACATACTCACATGTCTGAGGTGGGTTCGAGCTTAATGTAACCATTCTCGATCATCCACTTGAGACTCCAACGGTTATAATGACATTTGTAGCCCAATAAGTCCATCCAAATTTCGCGCGAGAATAGACATCCAGTTGTGCTTGGCCATATCTTTGGTAGTTTTGCATAGAGGCATTTTGTATGCTCCACTCACCAGTCCATTCCCCTACCAAATGAAAAAACATACGGTTATCTCATGCAAAACTATCGATATTTAGGCCAAATAATTCGCTAGATTTAGTTTTTACCAACAAAATTAAGGGCATTTGTTGAAGAGACACCGCTCAGATCCGAGGCTCTTTCGTTTCTAGTGAAGTCGATATTTTACTGAACATTCATGTGATTGAATGTATCCGAATAAAGATTGTAGTAATGCACATCAAGGACTACTTTGTTGAAGCCACTAACAAATGAGAGATGAACTTTAGAATTTTCATCCAATGGATTCGACATGATCACATAAGCATTCGGGCTGTATTTTCTCACAGTATCATAAGCTACCTTGTAATACTTCTTGAGGTTATCAATGTTGACACCTTGTGGCTCATTCATCAACCCTATTCCTCCTAAACTTGGTTTATTACCATATCTGTCAACAAGTTCAATTCAAGTATAAATAAATCTAATACTTCCACCACAACATCATATTTCATATATTGTTGAAATTTTAGTGTTGATTAGAAATAGACAATAAATTATATATAGAAGACGTGACTCATATATTTAATGTCTTAAGTTTTTGTATGGAGATGTGATATCAATATATGGCGTTGTTCTGAAGGTGGCATGTTTTGTTGGAGCGAGGCAGCGTAGATCATCAAGAGCAACTAGGTTCCCTCAAAAAAAGGGAATATCCTACTTGTTATATACTTTCATATTTTATATCCATCATCAACATGTATTCTCACTGCATTCAACCCATTTTGTGACATGAATACGAAATCATCTTATGTTATGTATGAACTCCAATGATCATTCAAGGCCGAGAAAGCTCAAAATTAAGTTGATTTGCAAATCAGTCAAAGAATTACAAACTAGTCATAGTTTCTCATGAAAAGTTTAACCAATTTCTCACCCTTAAGATTCAACTATCTTTATCTGGGCCATAACCATTAGTAAGTTGGTACTCTCCTCCTAAGTCTTTTACGATTTTCATTCGAAAAATCGATGGATCACTTTCTTCCCAACTCGTGCCTTGATAATTTGCAGTCACTGAAGTCTGTGATCGAACCTTCGTACATATATAATCCAAGGATTCACATTTATATCTAACTATTAATAACTTAAACAACAAGCTTTCACTATTCAAAAGTAGAAAAATTATGCTAAGGAGTACTTGCAAAAATAGACCATTGGATGATTTTGAGGGGATCGTCTTTATTCCTTATAATCTGAAATGTTTCTCGGCTTCTAGGTGAATCTGAAACGGATACAATTGTGTTGCCTCCTTGGTTATTCAGCCCTACAAATTTCTTGTTGAACACTCTAAGATTGAAGGATGCGTCGTTGACCCTCCAAAGCTGCAAATTAATGAGAAAACAATTAGAACTTTCTACGGGCGATTAAGATTTCTAAAGTTGTTTATTATACATATTTCTTACGCGGAATGTTTCCCAACAAGAAGCTGAACCGCCATTGGCTACAATAGCATCTCATCCTCCATTTTCAGCGGTACGATATGTTTGAAACTTTGTGGAATTGAGTTGTATTTGAGTTCCATCCTAAAATCACCAAATACAAAAAAAAAAAAAAAACTTGTTTATTTACATGAAATACATAAGTTGCATATACATTAGTGTCCTAACTATATAAAATGATTATATATGAGTTATTACCAAGAGATCACTATTGACAATTCCATCAAAGAGAGGAGGCAGCAACCACCTCTCAGCAAGAAGCCAGCTTCCTAGATTCACAGCTTTGTATGTCAGAGTTTGCTCGAGCAAATTTAAATAACCATTCTCGATCATCCACTTGAGACTCCAATGGTTAAAATGATATTTATAGGTCATATAAGTCATGTTATAAATTCTGACTTGATGTCTTTCTCATTGCATTTGATACTATATATAATAGTGTCGGTAACTACATGTAATTACAATTCATAACGACTAATTACAACTCATAATAACTAATTTCTTATTCTATGAATGTAAATTATTCACAATAAATGCGTTTGACTATTTCCTGATTAACACCCCCCTCAAATTGATGCAGCTGGTCAATGAGCATCAATATACTAACAAGAAACTGATGTCGTGGGCGTGGAACAGCCTTGGTAAGAATATCTGCAACCTGCAACTGAGTACTGACGTAAGGAAGTGATATTATTTGATCATCGTAGGCGTCACGTATTGAATGGCAATCAACTTCGATATGTTTGGTGCATTCATGAAAAACCGGATTTGCAACAATGTGAATGGCACTTGTATTGTCAGCATAAAGGGAAATTAGCTATGTTTAGGGAAATCCAAGTTCAGCCAACAGATCACGAAGCCAAAGTATTTCTGAACAAGCAGCAGACATGACACGATACTTTGATTCAGTAGAAGATTTAGAAACTCTTGCTTGCTTCTTACTTTTCTAAGAGATCAATGAAGAACCAAGAAACATGCACCAACCGGTAACAGATCGACGAGTATCAGGACACCCTGCCCAATCAGCATCAATATAAGCACTCAACTGAAGATAAATGCCAACGGAAAAGAATAATTCGCGGTGAGAGGTTCCCTTTAAGTAGAGAATTATACGACGAACCACAGCCAAGTGAAGATGGCGAGGAGAATGCATGAATTGACTTACTTGTTGAACAACAAAAGATATGTCAGGGCGAGTAATAGTCAAGTAGTTGAGGCTACCCACAAGTTATCGATACAATAAGGAATCAGGCAAAAGATCACCATCATCACGATGATATTTGACATTAACCTCAAGAGGAGTATCTACCGGATTGGCCGATCCGAGACCGGCCATAGAAATCAAATCTGTAGCATACTTATGTTGATTGAGAAAGATGCCCATGGATATAGAATGAACCTCAAGACCAAGAAAACAATGTAGATTACCCAGATCTTTCATGTGAAATGAGGCTTGTAATTGTTGCTTAAGTCGCTGAATGGAAGCAGGATACGAACCAGTAATAACCATATCATCAACATACAAAAGAAGCAGAACAATACCCGCAGATATGCTATGAATAAATAAAGATGAATCATACTGACTCTGAGTAAAGGAGAATCCAAGTAGATTGGAGCGGAATTTCTCGTACCATGCTCTAGGTGTCTGTTTCAAACCATATAAGGAGCGTTTGAGCTTACACACGCCTTTAGATGAAGATAATAAGCCTTGAGAAGGATTCATATAAATATCTTCTGTCAGGTCACCATGAAGAAAAGCATTGTTCACATCCATTTGATGTAGATTCCACCCGTTAGAAGCAGCTATAGAGATGATCGTGCGGACAATTATCATTTCGGAAACTGGTGCAAATGTCTCATCATAATCAATTCCATATTCCTGCTTGTTTTCTAATGCAACCAAACGAGCCTTGTAACGGTTGAGAAACCCATCAGAATTCAATTTCACAGAATACACCCATTTGCAACCTATAGGTTTTACATCAGGGGGACAAGAGAAATATCCCACGTGAAATTCTCTTGAAGAGCTTGAAGCTCTTCATTCATTGCTTTTATCCCTCGCACCTTCTTAACAGCCAGTGAGTAACAAGCAGGAATGAATATGCTAAAGAGTGTGGCATCCAGAGAAGTATGTGAGGAATCATACCTGTCTGGTGAATATCTATCTAGTGCGCGAGATATTCGACCAGAACGTTGTGGGTTAGTCAGTACAGGATCAGGTGACGGTTCAGTGTCGGGAAGGGGTGTGGGAACCTGCTGCCTGTGTTTTCTGACATATACATCACCTAGTTTATAATGTTCTATAGATTGAGGCATAATAGAAAACTTAGGAAGAGTAACAATATCATTAATGGCAGGAGAAACACAGGGAAACATAAACTGATTATCAAAAAATGTCACATTTCTAGAAATACGAAAACGATGGTTAGTGACATCATAACACACAAATCCATTATGAGAGTGACTATATCCCATAAATGTACATTGAACGTATTGTGCTCCAAGCTTATGCCTTTCAAAAGGAGGTAAGTGAGCAAAACACACACATCCAAAATTATGTAAAGCACTATAATCAGGATGAATTATAAAAAGACGAAAGAAAAGAGAATCAAGTTTAATAACCGTAGAAGGAAGACGATTGATCAAGAAGACAGTTGTGGAAAGAGCCTTTATCCAAAATCGGGATGGTACAGAAGCTTGGAGAAGCAATGTGCATGTTACATCAAGCAAATGGCGATTCTTACATTCTGCCATACCATTTTGTTGAGGGGTATTGGGACAAGATCGTTGCGGCAAGATGCCTTTTTGTTGAAGGTATTCCTGAAACGTGTGAGACATGTACTCACCACCAGAGTCAGAGCGAAAAATTTCCACACTTGCTTGAAATTGAGTTTCAACATATGTCAGAAATTTCTTAAACATAAAAAACACTTCAGATTTAGACCGGAGGAAATATATCCAAACAAAACGACTATAATCATCAATAATATGACAAAATATTTATAGTGAGAATGAGAAACTACATGATACATACCTCATACATCACTATGAATCATTTCAAAACAAGTGGAAGCACGATAAGCACCAGACGAAAAAGGAAGTGTTTTACTCTTACCCAATTTGCAAACAGAATATGAAATAGAGGCTTTAGAAACATTTTCATTTCCCAACAAACTATTTTTAAATAAATGGGATAAAACAACAGAGTTTGGATGACCTAATGTTCTATTTTATCCTCATGAGAGTTTAAAACATTTTCACAAGCAAAAGATATATGATTAGAAATAAACTGGAGTGGAAACAATCTTCCTATTTTAGGCCCCTTCACGATCACCTTCCCTGATACCTTCTCCTGCACAAGACAACCATCACGAGAAAAGTTAACATCATAATTTTTATCTACCAATTGACCAACGGATAATAAATTAGACGCAAGTCTGGGTGATACAAGCACGTCCCAATAATCATAATTTATGTCGCCAATATCAGTAATAGATAAAGTATTACCATCAGCTATTTGAAATTTCTGATTATCATGATAAGAGTGTAAATTGTGCAAATACTCTAAAGAACCTGTCATGTGATTGGATGCACCCGAATCAAGAAACCATGGGAGAGAAACATTAGAAGACTTATCCTGAATTCCCAAGGCCGAAAGAGCGGAAAGTACCATTTGTTGAATCAATTCAGGTTGTATAGCATTATTGTTTGATGCGCCATTAGTGGAAGGACCGGCCACATGATTTATAGTTGCATGGAATGTCTGTGCTGAACATTGTGTTGGTTGTGGAGGACGTGTGAGACACTCAGAGATAATATGACCCTGTTGCTTGCAGTAATTACAAAAATTCTTATTGCAGCTACGAACAATATGACCAAATTGTTTGCAAGAAAAGCACTGAACATGTCTCATATCACGACTTTTACCTTTACTTTGAGAAGCATATGCAATTGTCACGGGCTCGGAAATGGTAGCATCATGAGACATGGCTCCTTGAGTAATAAGACGTTGTTCCTCCCTTAAAAGTTCTCCAACACATGTATCTAAAAAAGGAACAGGACTCCTATTCAGCAAGGAACCTCTGACAACTTCAAATTCTGGATGTAATTTCATGAGAAATTGATCTCATCCACTTGTGTTGTAAACCTCTTGAATAACCGCGAGAGAGGTCTTGGGAACATTAGCATGTATAATAGCAGAGTGTTCTGTCCAGAGATTTAAAAAACCATAGTAGTATTCTTGAATAGACAAATCACTTTGTTTGTAGTTGGCCATTTCTAACTCCAACTGAAAACGTTTTGCTGAATTGTCCTAGTTGTAAATGTGCTTCAAATAATTCCACATTTCTTGAGAAGTTGAAAAAGAACGTAAATTATTGATCATCTGAGGATTAATACTGTTGAGAATCTAAGTTATGATTTGAGCATCTTTAGTTTCCCACGCATCTAAAGTAGTTTTCTATGTCGGTGCCTTAGAAACATCATCTAGATGATTCCATAATCCCTTTCTTTTAACATACATCTTGAACTGAAATTCCCATGCGGAATAATTCTTACCGGTAAAACGGACACAAAAATTCTTTTCATTTTCCATAGCCATGATATTATAACCCCAGGAAACCCCACTTAGTAGCCAACGAACGGTGAAGAAACACGCACGATCGAGAAATATCAACAATGAAATCACGATCGAGAAACACCAACAAGACAACAATGAAATCACGATCGAAAATCCCCAACAATCCAACAATGAAACCACGATCACCGAACAGAATCACCAAGAATAACGATCACCAAGCAGAATCACCGAGAAATAGAATTGCCGAGAAACAGAATCGTAAATCACAGTATGCTAGCAGCACCAATTGATTAACGATCACCGAAACAACTTGTGATAAACACGAAATCAAGATCACGAAGCAACAACAATGAAGAAATCACAAAACGACAATTGAAAGATTTCAATTGAGAAACATGATTTCGAGAAATACAAACAACAAACACGATTTCAAGAGTGACCCAATGGGGTGTCACTATTCAACCAAGAGAACAAGGATTCACAGGTTAGATCGAACCTTCTGATACCATGTCACAAATTCTGGTTTGATGCATTTCTCATTGCATTTGATATTATATATAGTAGTGTCGGTAATTACAAGTAATTACAATTCATAATGACTAATTACAACTCATAATAATTAATTTCCTATTTTATAAATGTAAATTATTCACAATAAATGTGTTTGACTATTTCTTGATTAACAAGCCGATCCAAACGTTGCACCAGAGTACACATTCAATTGTGCTTGAGCATATCTTTGGTAGTCTTGCATAGATGTACCTTGTATGTTCCATTCACCGGTCGATTCAGAAAAAACTTTTATGATCTCCAATATATATTATGATCTCGAAGGAAACTATCAATATATATATGGATTGTGGTTTATTTAACTAAACTTAAAGTTACTACTATGCCTTTTGACACAAGTTACAAATTTTTATAATGTTTTTAAAAAGTAAGTATTTATTAAAAGATAAATTTAAATACAGTAAAATATTTGTATAATTCATTTAAAAAAAAATTATATTATAATGTTGCTTTTTTTTATTAATTATTTAAATATACCCACAAGTTTCTATATTATGTACTTTGATTTATGTGTAAAATTAAATTATATAATTGATATGTATAAATTTAAATTAATTAATTTATAATATGAAATTGAATTTATTTATTGTATATATAAAGGGCATGTGTGGTTTTGAATTTTCTATATTTAAGAAAGTTTGTTGAGAAGAAGAAAATATAGTTTATTATATTTATATTTGCTAAAAGTACAATAAAGGTGTTCGTGCTGTGATGATGAGAAATTTTATATTTAAATGATTGTTGAGAGAAATTTTATATTTAAATGATTGTTGAGTTAATTGAATATTCTTCTTAACTTTTCTCACTCAAACTGATAAGTGGAGATAATATAAAAATATATTTTACTTTCCGAGTAAAAATAAATTAATACCTTAAATTATATAGAGTGAATTTGAGTCGAAGTAGGATTCACTTATTTGGGCACTTGTGAGGTCCAATACATTTATTAGTTTGACAACATGAGTAATTTGAAAATAAAGATCGAAATGAAGGGTATTGGATTAAAATATTTCTATTTATGAATTATAAAATTATATAAATAGACAACAAATTTTCTATCAAAATTATTCTATTTAAAAAGAGAACTATACAATTTGTTGATAAACTTTCCCTCCTAATAAAGAGGTTCTCAATTTCATTGCTAAAACTTGACTTCAAACTCAAGATTATTTATCAAAAACTACAATAATATTCATATCGTTTTTCTAAGAGTTATTAATCTCTTAAATAAAAATGATCTTTTAACACACATACCAAATACTCATCGAGTCCTTAACAAGAAAAACACAAAAACCAACTACATATACAACATCTCTAGATTATATATACTATAATCAAATTGTTCAAAAACTATGCTTTGCATGGCTTCAAAGGAGATCCACACAAACAATCATTTCCAACAAAAACACTAGCAGACAAATTATTCTTAGGAATCTCACCACAAAGATGATTATAACTAACATTCAACTTCTCAATCCCAACCACACTTGTTGTCACTTTTCCAAACACCATATTATGTGACAAATCCAAATACTTCAACCTATCTCCAAACCTTAAACTTCCCAAATCAAATTTCAAAACATTCTCAGAACTCCAAAACCCAACCAAATATTCTGTCTCATTCAACAACCCAACAGCACTTCCTGAAATCTCATTCCCAGAAAGATCAATAAAATCATAGAAATATGTCTCAGAAGGCTTCCAATCATCAAGCTTCATCTTTATCCCACATTTCGCAAGCTTTAGTGAGTATATAATCGGAGATGAAGTGACCCATTTCGGAATTTCATTCAAATGAAACATATTTCTCGACAAATCCAGTGACTCAATCCCTTTCACATTCAATGAAGGAAATGGGTCGACGAGAAAATTGTCGGAGAGATCAAGGTTGAAGATTTTCGTCAAGTTTGCAAAACTCTTAGGCACCGTTCCTGAAAATTGATTCTTTGATAAATCCAGTGTATCAAGAGCTTTCAATTTTCCTAGAAAATCTGGGATTTTTCCAGAAAGTGAGTTCTGTCCTAACTCGAGAAACCTTAAATGTGAAAACATTGTCGAAATTGAAAATGGAACATTCCCGGAAAATTTGTTTCTAGAAAGTTCGAGGATAATAAGGTTTGTGAAAGAACTGAAAAAATCTGGTATTTTGCCACTGAGGTTGTTTCCTTTGAGACTAAGATAAGTGAGATTTTTAAGGTTTTTGATAGATTCTGGGATTGTTCCAGTGAGAAGATTGTTACCGAGTTTTAACTGAGTTAGCTGAGTTAACTCAGATATAGAACTCGGAATCGTTCCTGTGAATCGGTTTCCTTCTAGACTGAATGCTCCTAGTTGAGTCATAGTGCCTATGTTTTTGGGTATTTGACCAGAGAGTTTGTTGTTTTCTATGTAGATGTGTATTCGAGTTTTGTTAAGTTTAAGAGAGATTCAGGAAATGGGCCTGAAATGTTTTTGAGATTTTGGAGGTAGAGTCCACTTAGGTATTGGAGTTTTGAGAGTGAGGGTGAGATTGTACCTGACAAGTAGCTTTTTGGATTTTCGAGATCACCGGTTAAGGACAAAGTCGTAACTCGTTTGTTGTCTCCGCAACTTACTCCGGACCATGTGCAACAATCTGTGCCAGTTATCCATGTTTTTAACATGGATGACGGGTCGAATTTGATGCTTGATTTTAAAGTGAGGAGACCTGATTCGTCGTCAGGATGACATTTGGCGCCATTTGTATTAAGGGGGAGTAGGGTGGTGATAGTAATAATGATGAGGAAGAGATTCTTGTTCATTGTGTTTTGAGAATGAGAAAGTGGAATACTTAGTGAAAGGTGGTGGAGTTGAATTTATAAAGGGTGTTTGTAGGATTGAGGATAAGGTTTTGGTATGTTAGGTTTTTTGTTTTTTAAAGTGAAAATGAAAATAGAAAGCCAACAAGTTTGACTAGATATAAATGGCAGTGGAGGTGTGATGATTTGGTACAACAATTGATGTCTAGCAAATGTCTAGATTTATTTTTCAGAGTCAATATATGCTGCCCACGGCATTAATGTGCAAGTGGTTTTACAGGTTTTGTTACACTTTGCAAACATGTATGACACCACGCAATACTCCATACTCCTTTAATCATTATTATAAATATTTTTTTTTTAATTTATTAAATAATTGATGTCGTAGATTACATATATAAATTATTTAATAAATTAAAAAAAAGGATATTTATTTATAATATTAATCAGAGAGAATGTGATAAAAATATTTTTGATTAAAATATTATTAACTCTTATTTCTTCTATCTTAAAATAAACTTTTTTAATTATAAAAATTATTTTAAAATAATAGTTTTTTTACTTTTCTAATACAATAATAATTAATTTTTATCAACTTTATCTCTTGTCTACATTTTTCTTAAATTATGACAATATATAATAACTAATAATAATTAAGGATAATTTTGTAAAAATATTATTTTTATTAATCGATTAATATTTTTTTTAATATATATAAAACGACTTTTATTTTGAGACGGATGAAATATCTTATAGAATTAATCACCACTTTATTCTTTATTATATAGAGAAGTTCAGAACGTTCGTATTAAAAAATGAACAGCTAAACCACTAGACTATTAGTATTTCTTTTATAATTCCTTACAACAAGTATATGTAATACACGTTAAGTTTATAGTATTATAAAATAAGTTATTTCAATTTCACTTTCATTTTAATTCAATATATTTCTCTTACATAATAATATTTCATATTTAATAATATTAGTTTTTACATAATAATAAAATTGTATTTTATATATATATATATATATATATATATATATATATATATATATATATATATATATATATATATATATATATATATATATATATATATATATATATATATATATATATATATATATATATATATATATATATATATATATATATATATATATATATATATATATATATATATATATATATATATATATATATATATATATATATAAAATAGAATGAATAAATATATTATTTATTAATATTTATATGAATAATATATTATATGAATTTATAAAATAATATGAATTAATATATTTAATTTAATACAAATAAATGATAACTAATTTAATAATAGAAATAAATAAAATTAATCTTAAATTATTTCTATCTATTTCAACATTTTAATTTATTTGATATTTAATAATAATTAAATAAAACAAAACGTTAGTTGCAAATATTTTGTTTAATAATATTAATTTATTTCATATTTATCATGTTTAATATTAAACATAAATTATAATATTAAATGTAATAAAATGTTAATTAACATGTAATAAATATTTATTAAATAAGTAATTTTTCAAAGCTTATGTTGAAAATTTAAATATTTTTATCACACTTACATTTTTATTTTATATTTAATAAACATATTTCATAAATATATTTAATAACTATTATTTATTAGAAATAATATTTTAAGTTAACTATTAAATATAAAAAATTAAATAATATTTTAAATAATTTTTAAATATATTTATTAAATACCAGTATTTAAATAATAATGTAATTGAATTAAAAGTGTGTGTGAGAGAGATAATTAAATTAAAAGTGTAATTGAAACAATTGATATCTATTTTTGTAATATTAAACTAAGTTATGTAATATAAATATTCTCTAGAAATATTAAGCCAAGTAGCGTTGATGGTCTAGTGCTTAGACATTTTCATGTTGAATGTAGTGTCACGGATTCAACATGGATTAAAAAAAATAAAAATAAAAAAATAATAAAAAAAGTCAATTAAACATTCACGTAATTATAAAATAAAATAAAAATAAAAAAGTCAACACAACAACGTCACATTATTAATTTTGTTGATCAAATTCAACAAAATTGTTTTTGAGATTCGACCTATATGACCGAGGGAAAATGATGATTAACCCTATTTTATATAAGTTGATTTTATTATAATAATAGTTATTATATTTTTTTAATTGTACTTTTTAAATACTTTAAAATTTAATAATTATTGTTAATTTTTATGTGATAATTTTTCTATGGTCTATGGTCTTACCTGATCAAGAAGAAAAGTGAAGCGATCGAGATATTTGTCAATTTAAGTCTATGATTGAAAGATAAAGTGGTCAAAAGTTCAAAGTTTTAAGAATTGATGGTGCTGGAGAGTATGTGTCGAAAGACTTCGACATGTTATGTGAAAAATAATGAATTGTGCATGAGGTGGTGTCACCCTATACTCCACAGCAAAACAGAACTGCAGAAAGGAAGAATCGAATCATCATGAATATGTTGAAAGGCAAGAATTTACTTAAAGAGTTTTAGGGTGAAGTTGTGTCGACTGCAGCATGCGTTTTGAACAGATGTCCTACGAAGAAGCTAGAAGGAATTACTCCAGAATAATGATGGTCTGGTGTGAAGCCTAGCTTAAGTCATCTGAAGGTATTTGGATCTATTGCACATAAACATGTTCCAGATCAGTTGAGAAGAAAACTTGATGACAAATCGATTCAAATTATTCTAGTTGGATATCATTCGACAGAAGGAACAGGTTGTTCGTGAAGGTGTAAAAAACACAAGAAAGGAGAATTTGAATTTGGTTTTTTAAAACAAAATTATTCTTTTAAAAATATTCCCCTTTAAGTTAAAATATTTTTTCCTTCACTCTCGATAATAACAATAAGTAAGAACAGAAATAAAGAATAATGTATGTTTATACTAGTTCACTTGAAAATTATCAAGATAGTCTAGTCCACCCGCCAAGGTGATTTCTCCTCACTCAATTGAGGACTTAATTCACTATAACTGTGATACGGTGACAGAACCGACTGTTTTTACTGGTTTGGCGTTTTGCGTTTTTTGTTCGCAAAATGTCGCGGTAAGCAAGAGTCGTCACCGACTTTTATTTTATCCAATCATAGAAAAGGTAGATTATAGAAAGGGAAGGTGTTATCGCTCTTTCTATCCATGGTTTTCCATGGGCTCTTAGGTACTTGCTCATCTTTTTAAAATTGCTTGCGTGTGTGCTTGTTTTGTTTTTGAAAATGTTTTACTTCGTGATAACCCTCGTATCAGTCCTCAAGGGCGTGACGAAGTTTGTTTTGAAAATTTGTTTTGAAAGGTGTTTGTGTGAAAAGTTTTGTTGAGCAAGTACTTAAGATTCTACCTACTCGAAAAAAGATTGTTCGTTCTCGTTTTCTTTAGACAGCGCTATCCTACTATTAAGGAGTAGGTAGCACCGTCATTGAAGTTTGTAAGGGACGTTCGAAAGGGACAAGTACAACCACTAAGCAACAGTTAGAAAACTTTAGTAGTAACCCTAGAGTCGTAAGATCTTTCCGAGGCAACATTTCCGAAGCAACATTCGAATGGGACATTTTGATCTTTTAGACTGGAGGGCAACCACTAAAATCTCCTATGCTTAATGACTGTTTACCGAAGGCAACCGAAGTGAGGAAAATCCTAGGAGTGAATATGTGCATGTGAATTTTTTCAGTTATTTAGTCTTTGCACATTTAGGTGATCTACTGTTTTAACTTTCAGATATTCTTGTCATAAAATCCTATTAGTCATGCATCTATCAGTTTATAGTTTACGGAAATTAAAGTGCGAGAAAATAAACCTAGCTATTACAAGGCTTTGGCAGTTACATAATTAACTTAACAGAAAATAAAATGCGGAAGCTTAAAACCCTAATTACTATTACAATCCCGGAGCAATTACAATAATAATAAAACAAATTAAAATGCGCGCGGAAAATTAAATGCGAGAAAAATTGAAAACCCTAAAAATCTAATTGAGAAAAATATTTAAATTATTTTTTAGAAAAAAACTTAATTAGGTTATGTACAACTAAAACCCTAATTCTAATCATTTTTAATTATAAAAAGAAATTGAAATTAACCTAATTTAAACTAAATTAAATAATTCAAGAAAAAAAATATTTAAAAAAATATATTTTATGTATTTTTTGTGGTTTTTATTTGAGAAAAAAAAACAACTTAAGTACAGATTTAAAACCTAGTTTCTAATTAATTTTAATTAAATAAATAATCAAATAAAATTAATGAACCTAATTTATTTTCAAAAATATTAATTTTAATAAATAAGACCTAATTCTATATTTTGTGATTTTTTTTAGTTTAATAAAAAATAATTTTGGTGTTAATTAAAAAAAACAATTAAAGAAAATAATTAAAGAAGTTAAAAAAAATAGAAAGAAAAACAAACTGGGCCTGTGTTGAACGTCCCGGGGGGTGTGATTCTGAATTCCCCAGGCCCAATAGCCATCCAAGCCCAGTCAGCGCCTGGTTCCATGTGGCGTTGACCTGGGGGTGTATCATGGTCTCTCATTGTTATGTGTTGGATCTGATATTATGCTTGATCAAGTGGCAGGATGTTGGTGACGTATGGTAGACATCTGGCCAGGTGACGCACAGGATCTGCAAATGGGAAAATTGAAAACAAATTTGCTGGGACCTGGGATCGAACCCAGGTCCTTATGTTTACCAACAACGCGTTCTTCCACTAGGCCAACTGGCTTATTTGTTACTATGCTGAAAACAAAAATATAATATGGAAAAATAAATGATTAATGGACAAACGCGCGAAATTTCAAATGGACAAATAGATGACTGTCACGCCATCGTCTTCTCCAAGAATTCGTCGTTTTAGGCAAAGACCTATACCCACGGACAAACTTCCATGGCTAGAAACTTGTACAACTCAAAAACTCATAAAATGCAACATAAATGGAATTAAAGACCAGAGTTCAACTGGTT